GCTTAGACTGGTTTTGGTGTTTTTTTTCAGCAGGTGGAACACAAAAGGAACGTTTTTAAAGATATTCACACTAATTTTTCCATACTCAAATAATTTACAGTGACCACTGGTGCAAAAAAGTGAAAGTAGTTTAAAATACGATTTCTGACGCAGTAGCTTTGTTTCATGAACAGATCAAAATTTAAATAATTATTTACTGTCAAATGAGCAGGTTGGGTGTCAATAAAATGAGTTGGTTTTCACATCTTGTGACCAAATATTGTTAAACCTGTGCCGTAGACATCATATTTAATTTGACATGCTATACAGTTTGACTTAAGAGTCAGTAATGACATAACTCCACTCTGTTCCTCATATAAAAAGCTATCATATGACTTCAGACGACTTCAAACATAGTTTATGAGTCATGGACCACTTTTTGAAGTGCCTTTGTAGCTTGATAGATTGGTCACTATGTACTGCCATTGAAAACAGGAAGTCAGAAATTATTTCAAATGGTTCCTTTTGTGTTCCACAGACAAAAGTAAAAGCATACAGCTTTGGAGCGACATGAAGTTGGGTGAACTATTTCTTTAACAGTTAGGGAAGTATGAGAGATTGACTCCATCCATTATAAAGCAACATCATGTCTGTAGTGAGTGGCGTAGTTTGACGTAGATGGAGCTTCAAGTAAGATGTACGGTAGTGCTCTCAGGTGCGTGTCAGAGATTTATCACCACAGGCCATCCCACAGTCTCAGCCAATAGAGTGCCCAGAGCGCCAGAGGAAGAGGAAGACAATGACACAAAAGACGTTGTTGCCAGTACCGTGACTGAAAATATTTCTCCTCAAGAGCAGGGATCCGTGCCTCTGGCCTCCACAGCCTGTGGAAATTGTAAAAGAGCACTATATAATTCACATTACTGTCGTATGTGCTGCAGGGACCTGTGATTCATATCATGAGAGCTCCCTCTCCATTTTATGTGCTATGAGCGTGAATGAAAAGGCTGGGATTGTGTATGGAGATGGAGTGATGACAAAGCTAGCTAGGCCTGTCACATAAGCGATAGAGGCAGGATTGATGGACACCTCTGGGAGTTTTCTGATGGATAATGCCGCCTCTGCAGCTCACTGCGGTAGGGTCATCTCAGGTGACAGCTAAAATATTCACAGCGACAAATAGGGACTCTTTCCATGACTGTGTGCAAGGCTTTCTGATGGCTAGCCTGTGCATAGGTCACCCCGCTTCCAGAGAGCACGTAGACTCCACTGACAGAGCCTTTCTTTCATATGAATGCGATCACCACGGACCGCAAAGGATCAGAGAGCACCGCAGCAGGGAGTGTACCTATGGAGACCTGAAGTGGAAATGGCCTCTGATCTGAAAATAGTAGGTTTACAAACATAAAGGAGGTCAACTTAGAACCTAATGTTAAAGTGTGTGAAAAAACACAAGGAAGGAATTTCACAGTAAGCAATATACAATGTATGTTTTGTTTTGTTTTGTTTTGTTTTGTTTTGTTTTGTTTTGTTTTGTTTTGTTTTGTTTTGTTTTGTCCAAAGAGACTTGCACATGAGGAACAAGCAATTCAATCAATTTTGTTTTGTTTTAGTCAGGTGGTGATGTTTAGAGCTTGTCTTTTATCTTTATTATGGACATCGTTTTACATGTTAATTTTAATTTAATAATTTATAAAGTAATTTATTCAGTATATTTTTTCAATAATAATTCAACTTAAGTAACAGTAACAATGAAAATCATTTAGCATAACAGTCCAAATAATGCTTGCAAATAATTGCAAATAAATAACAAAAGTACTACTTACTAATATTTTTTATCAGTAATTCATTTTGAATATTATGCTTTTAAAGTTGTAGTCTAATTATCATTATCATAGTTATTGTTGTGTCAAAAAGAAGAAATAAAACAATTAAAATCAGTTCTGCATATCAGTTTTCACACATAAACATTACAGTCATCTGTACTTTATTGACTCTATCTCAAATACAACCCAACTTGTACAACCAAACCTCTTTAATAACACTTAATGCAATCATAATGGGGCACAGAACATAGACTGTAAAACAGTTTACGTGGCACTTCATCAGATTGTGCTCACTTATTTAGTACCCCTGAGAGATGGTTTAAACTAGATCTATTGCCTTGCACATCTGGTGGTTCTCAGTGGTTTCTCTGCATCAGTGCAGGTGAATACATCTCTCACAGATAGAGACACAGGCCAGCGAACTAGCAGATGGTCCACGTCCTCAGGTAGAGTTCTGGAGTGCTTTAATTGTGATCACTGCTGCAACGGCATTAACACCCCTTCATTCCCCTTGACATGAAACACTTACAATATGATAATCCTTATTATTCAGCAGAGCAATTTTCCTCTCTGTCTGAGACGCTCTGTGTGCTTTGAACCTCGGCCTCTGCTCTGTGATATCTACAAAGCACTAGACAATGTAACTGCCCCACAGCATTTCATCAGACCACAGCAGATAATACAGTTCCATTTTAGCATGTATTTTTTCATCTGCAGAGCAGTAGACCAAATTGTAGAACAGATCAGTGTTTTGTGAGATCAATAAGCCTGCAGTGACTAGTTGTGTGCAAGTTATAACACTGGAAATCAGAGAGAAGAAAGATCTGAGCTCATTAATATTGTCTTGAAGCTAAAATAAATAAGCATTTTTTATCACTGTGGTGTTAAAGGGATGGTTCACCCAAAAATGAAAATCATTTACTCTCCCTCAAGTCGTTCCAAACCTGTATAACATTATTTCTTCTGCATAAATGGGGTACTTTTAAAAAATGTGGTCACTCTTTTTAGTGCAATTACTATGAATGTGAACTGGTGCTTTCAAGTTCCAAGAAAGGTGCAAAAGCGTAGTAAAAGTGGTCTGTATGACTTCTGAAATATTATGATTGCTTTATGTTACGAACAGGCCAAAATGTAGTATTTTATTCACATGAAATATATTGACTTGCAGCTTAGCTTTCCTTGGCCCATTCATTAGAGTAGTGACTGGTGAATGAATCGTTCTTTTGAGTCGGATCTTTTCATTAAATCATACTGATCCAATTCTCGAGTTCAGCTCACTGAATCATTGATTCTGCTGTGGTGGTTAACAACTCACTTGATTTTCAGTTAATAAATTTCTGTCTGTTCGTCAAAAAGTATTGTATGACTTGATTCTTTTATTATGCTTTTATGGCCTTTTGACGACTTCAAAGCTCCAGTCCCCATCTGAAAAGCACAACCAGTACATAATTAAAATTTCTGCTTTTGTGTTCCACGAAAGAAAGAAGGGGTTCATACGGGTTTGAATCAACACAAGGGTGAATACATGATGACAGAATTTTCATATTTGAGTGAACTATCCCTTTAATCCTCCAAGGACTAACTGACGATGCTGTTAGCACTTCAGGCTCCCTTTGTCACCAAGTATCTACAAGTTCCTTGAAATAAATTCACAACTGGTGCAGAAAGAAAGAGATTAAAAGACAGAAGCTCGGCTCTCTTCAGTCAAACAGTCTTTGAAACTCTAACATAGTCTGTCATCTGTCAGACACTTGGCTCACAAACCAGTGGTGGACGAAGTACACAAATCAAGTACTTGAGTAAAAGTATAGATACGTATAATTCACAAACAGGCTGCGCCTCTGCCTAATTGCATTAAGCTTAAAAGAGGAAACAGGGCATATTTTGCCTCCATCATATCACTGTCTTCCACTCAAAGTGCGTATCGTTTAACTCCAAGGCTCTGAGGTTCAGTTCAGTGAAAGCCAGCATTCTCAGATTAGATAGATGAGGGTATATTGAAGGTGAAAGTCTCTGGCACTAATGCACTTCCAGGAAAATATCGCACTTTGAATCGAGTGGTGTCCTTGCGGCTTGAGACATCTGTACTGTCACGGCTCAGCTCGGTCAACCATGCCATTTAAATACAGGTTATTATGTGTGTCTTGGAGCCCAGTAATTTGTGGAATGTTATCAACTGTCGTCATAAGCGTTAAATTGTTTGTGCAATTTCCAAAAGTGGCTGTTCTTTGAAATGTTGTTGTTCTCTTGCTAGGAGTGATGGTGTCATCTATATGTTCTTTGCACTTGAAATCAGCTTGTGTTACTCTCTCAAGAAATGTGTAAAAGATGGTTAGGTACATTCATTTGATTAATTACTTAGTTTGATATTGCTATATAATATATATATATATATATATATATATATATATATATATACTGTATATATACATAAAAGCACACTACTGTTCAAAAGTTTGAAGCTGGTGAGATTTTCTTTTTTTTTTCTTTTTCTTTTTTATGTTTTTAAAAGTGCTCACCAAGACAGCATATTGTGAAATATTCTTACCATTTAAAATAACTTTTCTATTTTAATATATTTTATGTAATTTATTCTTGTGATGGCAAAGATGAAGTTTCAGCTGCACTTGCTCCAGTCTTCAGTGTCACATGATCCTTCAGAAATCATTCAAATTTTCTGATTTAGTGCTTAACAAACATGTTGAAAACAGTTGTTTGGATCCGAGATCTATAAAAGTAATTTTTTTTTTTCAATATTCTTTAAAAAATAGAAAGTTCAAAAGAACAGCATTACTGATTACTGAACTAATAAAAATTGTGATGTCTGTTTTGTGCAATTAAAATGTTTGGCATTCTGTTTGGCATCATTTTCATTTACTACTTCTCATTAGACTTCGTTACCCATTGAATAATTTCAAATACAATTTTGCCATGCACATAAATTTTGTCATTACTCTGATCCAGAGGGCATCCCAGTAACACCCTTCGTGTTCACCTTTGAACATATAGTATATGTTTGTGTCTCTACACTGAGGAACTTTTTATTTGGGTCGCATGCACTTCTGCCTGGACTCATTGAATGTTGCTGCAGTGTGATGTACACTAGTTAGTTGCTATGAAACTGTTGCAGCAGTGGCTCTGCAATCAGTGCGGCACAACGGAAGCACATCTCACCATGTTCTCACCATCTTCCAGCATCTTCAGAGACTCCAACTTCCATTCCTCCAACCACTGCCGACCTTAGTGAGTATGCCGACTGTGTGCAGTGTCGTTTGCCACTCTTTATCCGCCTGCTACACGTTTGTTCGCCTCACCTAGACCATTGTTCCTGAAGTCAACACCGCTGACGTTCACAGTAGACCGACAACACACGTCTGTGATAGAGAAGAGAGACCGTGTAGATGTTAGTGAGGGTGGGGGAAGTGAGACACTGGGATTGTGCTCATGACCCTCAAGCCTCAGTAGAGAACCATCACTAACATCCGCTTGTAGACCAGCTCACCTGTCTAACATGTCACTGCATGGTATACATACAGGAATATGACATGAACCGACATGCTTATTTGTGCTAATAGTTGATGGTTTATAAACTCATGATGTGTGCTGATTTTTATGCCATTGGATGTGCAGAAAATTGTAGAAACAGCATGACACATTGCAGTTCTCCTATTGTGCTCTCTGAGATATTAATGAGACGTGTTGCATACTGTCACGAATGTGGAAACTAATGGCGCTGTCTTCACAAAAGTAAGCAAACTTGTCAACATTAGCATTCTGGGAGTGCATGACATCCCTCAGAGATGCAAGCACAGATGCTTTTATCCGAAGAGATTTGCCATGCAGCAGCCATCCGTATGGAACAACCTGTGTTTAAGTGCACAAGGTCTCATGGTTCAAATCGACAAACTTGTGCAATCACCAAATTAACAACAGACGTCTTACATCTGTGTATGTCTCGTCTGTTTGTATACAAACTAATTTTGATCCTAAACACTCAAACATGCTCTCTCACTTCCCACTATCCTGCGAGAGACGCCACCAAGCGTTAGTCTGAAAATAGAGTTACCATGACAGCACGGATTACACCTGATCTCTCGACAAACAGACCGCAAATTGGGAGGGTCTGAAAAGGTTTTCGGGAGACAGCTATTCTGTCTCATTCAGTCAGAGAAATGACAGGGTCTTAATCTTAGAAGTAAGCAGTTTTTTGACTATTGTCTTCTTAGTTGGCATTGACTGGCAGCTTTAAGATTGCACCAAACTAAAACTTGCTCGGATGTCAAAGAAATTAAAATATAATAGCGTTTTTTAGGGTTGTATGAGTAGATAAACAAACAAAAGATCTGTTCTTTTGTATGATAATGAGTCATAATCATTTAAGATTTCAGACTTTCTAAATTACTTGACAGCTACAGTTTATAAAGAACCCTGGTGGTTTATAGACACTCATTTCAAATGGCTTCAAAGTGAATGTGAATGTTAGTGCATATTTGTATGTGTAATGTGCCTATTGTTTTAGTACAGTTATCTGTCTCAGATTGCAAACTTAAACACTCCTTATTTAGCCTGAAGTTCTTTAGAAACTCATTAGAATACTACATGTTATGTAGCTATACTACATATAGAACTATTCTTGAAAGTAAGTGCATTGCAAGGAAGATGAAAATGTAGATTTAATTTCCCTTCAAAAAAGCAAATAATTTTTTTTTTCATTTTTATTGTTAAAATAAATATTGTAGGGGTTTTTTTCCTCACTCTCAAATTTTGTATGGACCCCAGTATGGAAACCTATTTTAGCAGATGCTTTGATACAGTGCGGCTTCAAGGAGGCTTCAGTGTAAGCATTTTTACATGTAACTTAAGTGTCTGAAGGTGTACATTTGGCATCATATCTAGTATTTTACTTGTAGACTGCAGACCTCTAGTTTGTGATGGAAAACACTGCTCCTTGTCTTTAGCCTCCTCCACCCTTCTCAGCTACAGTCCTGAGCACATATACATAAATGTCTCAGGCTGAAAGTGCTGATCTAGGGTCAGTTTTTGTTTTCCATCCTGATGAATAATCCTGGATCAACATTTCATGGTATTGTCCCGGACTCTTCGTACACATGGGCAGTCTCTGCCCTAATGCTTCTCATTTGCCCATTCTGTAGCATCCAGCTTCATGTCCAGTAGATGAGGCAGGTTTCTACCTGTACGGTCAACATCACTGAGTTTCCTCTGCCTTTGGCTGCCCTGCTCTGTTTCAGTTGGTTTTGCAGCCCTATTGATGCTATTCAGTCTGCACAAGCATTTATAATTCAATGTACAGTGCAAGAGAGCTGTATTAGAATCCTCTTATCAAGAGTACCACTTGCAGTCAGAGGAAATACTGCTGGTGAAGTGGATTCATAAAGCAATTTGGACCCTATTCTAACTCTCATAGTTTAAATGGGCTTCAGGAGAGCTGGTATAGGGCAGATTTTTTTTGCAAGTACTTTGATTTGTATTTGTGTTTTAAAAAAAATTTAAATAATAAAAGCCTGTCCAGGAATTGCTTTATGGATCTATACACACTGTATCTAATGTTAAAGAGAAGTATTTATGTTTATAATTTATGTTTTCTTTTGTTGTTTGTGTTTGTGTTTCTGTTTGTACTTTTTGGTCTTAACACGTTCCATGTTTGTATAATTTTTTTCAATGTTTTGTATTTTCCATGTGACCCCTCCCCCCTTCCACTTTCCCTTCCCACCAATCATGTGCGTGCGTATCATGTGACTTTGTCATATGACTCTTGCATGGTGCTGATGATGTCGTCTTCGCTGGTGAACAGAAGGTAATATTTTGTTGATTTTATGTTGTTGTTTTTTTTGGTTTTGTTTTTGCTTTCGCTTTTGTTTTTTTATTTTGGTCCGATTCCCATTAACAGTGAGAACAGACAAGTTAATGAGGGGACGATAGAGGAAACACCCACCCAATACCATCAGAATTTATGAGCCATTTCATTTTTTGAGTCAATCATCCTTCAGAAACCTCACACCACCTACTTTATTTGGCTATTTGAAAACCATCAGCCACTCTGCCTAGACAGTAATCCCAAAGCTTAGTCTCCTACACATACTGCTAGGTGCTCTGCATGTTCAACTTTTTATTGATTTTCAATATATGTTTTACTGTACTGATGTAGAAGTAATTTCTACCCTCCCACTCCAACTCTTCTTTTAATAAATGATGTAACTTTTTAAGAAAATGTCCTTTTTTGTTAACAATATATCTTTAAGGAATAGTTCAACCCCAAAAAAAAAAAAAATTTCCTGATAATTTACTTACCCTCAGGCCGTTCAAGATGAAGATGAGTTTGTTTCTTCATCGGATGAGATTTTGATAAATTTAGCTTGACTTGCTCACCATTGAATCCTATGCCAGTGAATGGGTGCCATCAGAGAAAGCAATATTTTGGACAGAGGACTTGTATTTTAGCCAGAAGCAATGGTTTGAATTTAAAAACTTCTTGATGGATTTGTTTATTACAAACACTCAGCTTTTCACTTCACAAGATGTTAATTGAAGGACTGGAGTTGTGTGGAATACTTGTGGATAATTTTGATGTTTCTATTAGCTGTTTAAAATTTCGTTCTGACAGCACCCATTCACTGCAGAGGATCCATTGGTAAAAGTGATTTAATGCTAAATTTCTCCTAAACTTTTCCAATAAAGAAACAAACTCATCTACAAACTTCATTTTTGGGTAAACTATTGCTTTAAGAGAGTTGCTTAACGAAAAACAAAAAGAGAGGTTTTTGACATCTCACAAACTCATTTATTAAAAAAGACACATCCTTTTCACTTGTTTTTGTACAAATCATTATAAAGAACAATCATCATCCCCTCATTCATTTGCACATCATAAATGTGCTTTATATTATAAATTGTGCTATATCACAAAGACTAACAACAGCTAATTGCATGAACACATTTACACACACTTCTGTTTTCTGTCTCTTGTCTCAGTCTGCATACTCAAAGCCTCTCATGCATGTCCTAATTGTACGTTTTTGTCTCACGAATGAACCTGCTCACTGTCCCTGTCTGCTGTTCCAATGTGGAAATGGAAAAGAGGAAGAGCTTCACTTCCTCGTATTTCAAGAAAATGCTTCTACTCTCTCTTCTCCTACCCAAACATTTTTAACGACACACTTGGTTTGAGATGAGATACAGTCTCTGTCATTTTTTCTATAGTATCTCTCAGTTGCTATTCCTGAAATTTGTCAAGATAGGATAGCAGTCATTATTAGTCATGATCGAGTGGCAGAATAATCCATGACCCTTTAACCGAATCCTCCTTCTGCATGGTAGCGCATGTTTGCCCTCTTTCTCTCTGTAACCCTAATCTGTCCCTCTTTGCCTTCTTAGCATCTGGAAGTCCTTCAGCTAACTGGAAATGATGACTGGATCTCAGAAAACCTGTTTAACTGCCATCACAACTGCGCTGCTTGTCTTAAATTAACTTGTTTTCATTTAAATTGCAGCATCTGATTACAAACTTTAATGAAGCTTCAATTTATCTCGAAGGAAACACCTTAGGCCTCTATTTTCATGCATGCTGAAACTAACTGCCTGATGGTCTGAAAGTTTCAAAAATGCCTCTAACTTAAATTAAGCTTAATTACAGAAGACTATGAAGAGATTTATCAAGATATGAGACCAGAACAAACATACACATAGAGGGTTACGGTTTCAAGTTTACATACTTTGCATACCCTTTGCAGAATCTGTATTTTGTATTTAGTACTTGCCTGGAGGAGCTATAAAAGTTAGGTTTTTTTTCCCCATGAAAAAAATGGTAACTTAATTTACACAAATTATCTGTTTGATAGGCTGTTTGAAGGCTTTTATTATAGTTTGGTATTGTCCTGCGTGACAAAACATCATGAAGCCACTCAAATATGTAGAGAACAACTCAAATATGCATGCTGGGAAACCAAAGAACTTACAGGACTTGGAGAACAGTGGGCCGCTTCACTTCACAAACCAAAACTATCACAAAAGCTTACAAAATGTCATTGATGCTCAAGTCATACAAGAGCAGGAACCAAGAATGTTAACTTTTGAACAGGGTCAACTCTGTAAATTCAGTTGTTTTGTGGATAGTATTATATTATATTATATTATATTATATTATATTATATTATATTATATTATATTATATTATATTATATTATATTATATTATATTATATTATATTATATTATATTATATTATATTATATTATATTATATTATATTATATTATATTATATTATATTATATTGATGTTGAAAATTTTGGAGTTTGTCAGAGTTTTTAATGTTTTTGAAAGATGTCGCTTAAGTTCTCTAAAATACAGTAAAATAGTAACAATTGTGAAATATTGTCACAATTTAAAATAACTGTTTTCTATTTTAATATATAATTTTTAGCAGCCATTATTCCAGCCTTTACATGATCCTTCAGAAGTCATTCTAATATGCTGATTTGGTGCTTGGGCATTTCTTATTATCAGTGTTGAAAACAGTTGTGCTCCTTAATATTTTTGTGCAAACCCTGATTTTTCAGGACTCTGATGAATAGAAAACTCAAAAGAATGGCATTCATTTGAAAAATCTTTTGTAGCATTATAATTATATCATTTTTTTTTTTAAAGCCTTTACTTTTATGTTTGATAAATTCATTGCATCCTTGCTGAGTAAAAGTATTAATTTCTTTTTAAAAAAAATCTTATTGACCCTAAACTTTTGAACTGTTGTGTATTGTATTGTATTGTATTGTATTGTATTGTATTATATTATATTATGTTATACAGTATTTGTTAAAAATATAAAAATATATATATAATTTTTATGATCCATGTTATTTTGCTAAATAATATGTTAACTATCTTGCAGATTCTGCCAGGAGAATGTAAACGTATAAGCAGAACTGAATCCAAAACATCAAATTTAACTTGTTCATTATATGTTTTTGGTCAAACATTCAAATATCCAATTGCCTTGACCTAAAATTAATCTCATTTGTCATGTTTCATTTGGTGGTGTATATACACAGTGTCACATCAGTTCCTAATAGGGGCTCTTGTCTAGCAGCTATTTATGATGATTAATGGGAGCAGAGCACTGTGGTCTCCTCCCAGGCTCCACTAGTGACACAGGTAGACAGCTAACATCCCAAACAAGCGCCCACACATGCGCATATCCCTCCCCCTTCAGCCCGCTGATATTATTAAATGTAATGGCTTGAGAATCTCCAATCAAAGCATGGAGGATAATTAAGGGAGCTCTGTCATTAAGTAGTGGGCAAGTCGAGATAACGAGCTCCCCCAGAGACTGCATTACAGTGCCGCTCTCTTCCTCCATCACTGCCACCAACACAGGTCCAGCTCTCATTACAGCCCTCCACATGCCCAAGCGACTCAGCTCCACTTTTACAAGAGCCAAGTGCTTTCATTAATGTTCCACGTTTGGAGGATGGGAGGCAGAAGTCATCATTATACTGCCAAAAAACCTGTGCAATGAGATGTCTCGACAGTTTAGCCAAAAACGAGAACAGAGGAATTGAGACTTTGCAAAGTGACTCAACTATAAAGTGTTACGTCTCTTCCGCTGATCGTTAATTTTACCATTTTTTTGTGCTTAGTTTAGACCATACACAACCATATAATTTCCTTTTAAATTCTCCCAGCTGGGTCAACACTGTAAATTAATTATGAGCTAAAATTAGCCAGGAGTTTGATTAGCTAACCTATTTCTGCAGTTCATATTCAGAGATAAAGAATACATTGTGGATTACAAATCAGCTGTTAAAGGATGAGGGGACATTCACCTGTGGAAATGTGGCTGGGTTAGGACACATTTTGAATCTGTGCGAGGGTCTTCTAACAGTGTTTTTTCTGGCCATTTTCTCCTCAGGGGAACCTAATCCTCCTAAACTGGAGGCTAAGCCACTGTCCACAGGCAACGAGATGAAGGTCCACTGGATCAAGCAGGACGATGGGGGCTCTCCCATCAAACATTATCTAGTGCGCTACAAAGCTGTGAGTATGATTGGACATGAGGTAACATACTTTTCTCATCCTGTTGTCTGAATTATTTATACCGTCATTGCAAGTGTGACATGCCTATGTAGAGGTAGTGAAATTCACGGGTCAGTGACATAAAAGTGTCCATGGTAAAAAAAAAAGGGGGGAGGGCGGGGGATCTAGTTTAAAACACATGTGCACAGTGCTCTTAGAAATCAACTCTTTGTATTCATGGTTGATTTTGAAAAATGTTCATACCATTTTCAAGACAAAAGTTACTTTTAATAATTCTAAAAATGACATTTGTCATAAAATGGGTCAAATTATGTGATATTTTAAGAGACTTATTTACCTTGGCACACAGTTATGAGGGTCTGCAGGGTTCCTCTCTATGACAATTTCCTGTTTTAATGTTTTGTTTAGTTTTTTTGCCTTTGATTTGGTGGACATACGTTTTTCAAATATTACTGAGCAGTAACTATTTAAATATTTAAAAAGTTATTATATTTTTATATATATATATATATATATATATTTCTTTATTATTAAATCTAATTCTATTTTAATTTCGAAAATGAAAACATAATCATCATAGAAGAGGTGTATTTAAATTCAATGTATGTGTGAATTGCATTTTTATATATTTTTTAAGAAATTAGAATACAAAAAATTGTGTCATTGACCCTTATATACCATCCTTGCTTAAAGTGTGTCCACATGTGTCCGTAGAAGAATCGCCAGGACTGGAAGCCGGAGATCCGCCTGCCCAACGGCAGTGAGTACGTTGTTCTGCGAGGTCTGGAATGGAACACGGAGTACGAGGTCTCTGTCATTGCTGAAAACCAGCGAGGGCGATCTGAACCCGGCACACTCTCCTTCAGGACCTTGCCAGAATCCACCGCCATCCCAGGTACGGCCCACCCCCTAACCCTGAAGCACAGCCACTGCCAGCCTGAGCGGCCAACAGTCCGACCGCCTCAACCCAACCCCTGTTAACCCCATCCTACTAGCAGGTCTTGTTGTGGATTACACAGGCCACCCTTGTCAATTCAGGTTGTGGCCTGGCCTCCTCTAGAGAGTGATTTGACACAATCTAAGAGTAATAAGAGTGCAGAGTGATAAATGTCTGTGAGAGGTGGCCACGGGTGAAGTCTGGAGACCTTCAGCTCCTCTCCAGAGCCCTGACCCCTCCGGCAACCTCCACCTGACTCTTGCAGCCGGCTTTATTGCTCATCTCGGAGTGATTGTAGATGATATCAGTGAAGATGAGATTTTCTATTTGGCACTCGGGAGGCAAAAAGCCACAGCAGGCCCGTTAAACCATCCACCCCCTCCACCACAGGGCTCGTTTGGTCTGTGCTCCATTGGCAGTGCTGTGTTTTTGTTTTCTTGCGAGCTGCTTCCCCGCTGATAAAAATTGGGCCTTAGATCATCCCTCGGTCTCTTTCTGGAGGCTGAACTGAGGCTCAGTTCAGGCTCATTGTGGCAGACCAATTGAATTGGGCTGACTATCTGCTTGTTCTCAGTGGGGATGCATCCTCTGGTTTTGCATGATGACGCCGCAACAGGATTAATGGTTTAATGCTTTACTGAGGACCTAACAGGCATCTGCCGGTGCATGGCCAAGAGACCTGCTTTTTCTCATCCGCTTAGTGGGAAGCAGCCATATAGCAGTGGGAGCTTTGGATCTCGGAGCACTTGTGCAAGACAGGTTTGGATGGATAGAAAAGCCTTCCTTTGTCTCTTTTCTCATCTCGCCACACTTACACATGGCAGAGTTGTTAACCTCAATGTGTAACATATGGGAGTTCAAAAAAGCGGCTTTATTTTTAGCCCAACATCTGCATTGCATCAGCTGGAGCAGCTGCTGTTAGAAACGATGGTCCAAAAACAGCTGCTCAGACAGCGATTCACGCTTCTCTAGAGTCTTATAATCAGACCAGCTTGCAGGAGACAGGTTAGAAACCCTTAAAACTGTCTGGACACTATTATTATCACATGACACATTCCTTCACTTTGCAGATGGTCAGCACGTCGAGAGTTTGGCAGGAATTAAAATAGGGAGCCAGTGGATTTTCGTGCATGGTACGGGTAATGAGTTGAGCTCAACCCTGGCCACACGACAAATGCTAAAGCTCTACTTCATGTAATCCAAATCTCCCCGGCTACAGTTGACAAGGAGTAAAAGCTGTTCTAATACAACGCCCGTTAACATTTGTGCCATTTAAATAAGATCAGAAAACTCATTTCAGCACTTTATTATACTGTATTGCATCATAACCTGTTTGTTTCGCCTTGTCTTCTGACTGGGCAACATTTCCCTGGTGTTTGCGACATAGAAAGATGAAAGCCTGTTTTTCCGAATTTCCTGTAGAATGTTTTTCTTGATTTGAATTCATTATAATTCATTTAAATCCAATTTTCTGACAGCACTTGTTTAAAGCTGAAGTGTGCTTTTTATGTTATAATGTTTCATTTTAAAATACCTTCACTATCTGTGCATTAGAGACCATTATAAATAAGCCATTTGTAGATGAATTCCTCCAAAAAGTGTAAACACTGTCTCTGTGGTGCTATTAATGACCACTGGGTTTGGGATGGGACTATCTATTTGACAGAGCAATTGCAGTCCAATTACTCTTTTTGTTATTAATGTTGCAATACAGTTTTGAGAGGCTAGTAGAGCGGAAATTGCATACTTCACCTTTAAAGAAAGAGAGGATATGTAAGATTTATCAAAATTGGCTGTAAAGTATATATATATATGCAATGTCAAATACCAGGACAGTTGCCTGATCTGTGTTTTTTGATTGTACGTGTCTTGGTGTCCCTTATCATTCCATGTTTCCCATCATTTGACTATCATTGTCCTTTCATTCTCGATTTGCTGTCATTGCTGTGCTTTTAACTTGCTGGAACTTTCCTTTGATATTCTTTTCTTGATTAACCTTTTAAACTTAATTTTCTGTATTTGACCTATTCTCTGTCTCTCTCTTTTTTCTCTCTCCCTCTCTCCCAATTTCTTTCCCTGTTTTTTCCTTCCTTCCCTCCCTCTTTCCCTTTTTCTGTCTCCATGTGTAAAATCGGACATCACCGGATCATCGCATTTTCAAATACGCACTCAAAACGTTTTTTTCCCCCATTTTTGCCAAATTGTTTTTTCCTCCTGTGCACTGTCCCTGTGGTCTTCGGGTGTCTTTTTTTGGTGTGGTGGTGTGGGATGTGTGGTCTCAGCAACACTTGGCTGCTCCTCTGTGACGTACGCTCTCGTCACTCTCATGTTCTCCATGCTGACTGTGCTAGTGCTCTCATAAACTGGGGCTCGCCAGAGGACAGGAGCCCCGTCCACTCTTCAACCACACCCTTCAGTTTTCTACGCCTTTCTGATCCTCTCGCAGGCTAAACAAACAAACAAAAAAGAATATCAGTTACATGTATTGGAATTAAGCAAAGTGTTCGGTGCTTGTATCATTCTGTTTTTTTGTCTTTTTAAGTTTCTTATTCATTTTATGTTTAAGCAAGGCAGTGTTTGAAAAGGTTTTTTTTTCACATCATGGACTTTTTGGGAGTGTTGTAGAAAATCTTTCCCTATCAAGAAGCCTAGTCTCTTGATATTAATCTCGATATAATTATTCTAGGGCCCATTTAGGAGATAAAGTCCTTATTTTCATTACCTTCATTAATTTTAAGTTTCTTATTCTTTTGTTGTTGTTATTATTATTAAGATATTAACTCATTTGGAAGGGTGTTTTTTAGGAATAGGCACCAAGTTTGTGTGTTGACATGGAAAACGTGTTTTTTGTGACAAACTGTACATAATTTTAGACGATTCAGAAAATATATACTTTCTTGTAATGGACTTTTATTTGCATTTTCTTTTCTCTGCTTCTTACTTGAAAAGACCATTCAAAACTAATGCTACTGCTGTTAAACTCATTCACGTCAAAAGTGTCATTTTCAACAGTGTAATTTAATTATGTTCTGTAATACATTTTTTGTACACGCATACCAGTATGGTGTCATGCAGTAATCGTTGTAGGTTTTAAGGAAATACGGTAAGCTAGATAGATTGTTTTGTTTATTTTGAGTTTTTAACGAACACAACATGGATTTGAGTCAAAATCTCGCGAAAGCGAGTTGCATGGAACCATAATGTGTGACCGTTTCATGCTTGTCCCGTGATGACATGGTGCACAATGTCGGTTCGGAGGGACCCACGGAGCTTTTTACTTTTAAAGGGCAGGAGTGTTCTGCAGTACTTCTGATTGACCATCTCTACTCTGAACTGCTAAATTCCTTAAGGCTGTTTATTCTTGCTTAGACAGGATTTAACATAAACAGCCCCCAGACTGAATTTTAGTGCGAAACCCACAAGCATTCTTGTGTGCATGGCACCGCCTCCGTTGTAACCGTATAAATCAATTTTGAACATTAGCGATGGATAGATACAGGTATGGGTGTCGATTGACCTCCAGCCAGCTGTCCGTATTAAAGAAGATAGTGGTCAGTTTACATGTCCAAGGCTGCTGTATGCCATCGAGAGTGGAAATGCGAGTGTCATTATTATTCAAGACCTATGCAGGCATTTCCTGGGAGAGTGTCAAGTAAAGTGCAACTAATGTAATTAAGTGTCTTACAGTATAAAACCTCATATATTTGGCAGGGTTATGGAAATAAATGGGGGAGGGAATGGGGGTCGTTTGTTCAATAAAATGGAGTAGCATTTGTTTCCCATTTTGGAATGGATTCTCATGGTAATAAAGTGATGAGACCTGGAGGTTTGACTCCTGGAAACGCATGTGCCAATCAGTTTGTCATGCTCATCATTCATATTCAGGTGCGTCTCTGTCCTTAATCATTGTGTGTTGGTGCTAGGTGACATTTCATCAGAAAAGCAGCACCCCGTTTGGCCCGTCTGGGATGGATCATCGGCTTCATTCAGACTAGCAAAACCAGAGGCAAAATGACTTGAGAATCCAAACTTGGCACCGGCAGAAGTGCCGCTTGTTTGCACTTATCACTGAGAGTGACTGGAGACGGAGGCAAGTGCCAAGTGTGGAGGTGTCTGAATAATCTGAGAGTCCTCAGAACAGACTGAACATTTGTAATGACTGTGCAGAGAAAGTTAAAATGGGCTGTTAGCGAAAAGTCACATTCAGCAGATGCCTCAAGAGCAATTAAAACAGTATTCTGGTGATCTGTTGTAGATTTTCACAAATTCTGCAGTTCGATGATGATCCTGCAGTAGCTTTATTTAATATGTTTATATGTAATATTCAACACAGGAGGTTAAAGTTTGGCTAGTTAGCATTAGCTAGCAGCTAGCCCCTGCTGTAACTACATTCCGAGCACGCAAAGCCTGTTTTTTTCCCATTGATGGCTATGCAAAATTAACCACAAATTAATTTACTAGTACTTCTTTATTATATAGAGTGCTGCAGCCGTGATGTCAAAACTCAGAAGACTAATTTGCCAAGAGTTTTTCTTATGGTAAACGTAACTTCCCTGTTGAAAAAACCAGCATATGCTGGTTAGGTATGTTTTGACGCTGGGATGCTGGTTTAAGCTGGTCCTTTGCTGGTTTATGCTGGTC